ATTTGAGGGAAATCAAGGAGGGTACATAAGAGAGGGGTTAGAGGAAGAACGGAAAAGGGTAAAATGATATAATTTCAAAAATGTTATATAATATGTACCTTATTGTCTTGACTGATACTTTTAACAAGTATCTTACTTGATTTAGTAGACTTTTCTCTATAAAATCCCAAAAAACTCTACTAGATACAGTCTAACATAAATCTTAGTGTCCATTGTTATTCTATGGTAAATAGCTATATTTCCAGAATTTCATTGTGAGATTTTCTTAATTTGTAAACCAGGAAACTGTTACATTTCCATATTATGAATTACTAAGCCAAATCATAATTATATTTTGATTTCTACTTTCAAAGAATCACAATTTATCCCTGGGAATAATTTAGACAAGAAAGAAAAATCCCTAGTAAATAAGCAGAAATGAAGTTAAAGTTGATATTGCTGAGACAATAAAATAAATTTTAACTGGAAACAAGAATTGCTCTCTGAGTACAATGGCTCTAATTTGTATGAACTTGGATTAATTCACATAAAGTCAAGAGATGATTGGAAATGTAAAATAAAGACCTCGAAGTAAATGTTGATAGTAAAAATAGCTTCAGGAATAAATACTGAATATCTAACATAAAGAAGTAGTTGTTGCATATTGAATCTATAGGCAGTGTCCTCTTTCTCTGTCTTTACCCACACTAATTGCCTCATAGGACTTAAATTTGTGTGCTAGACATAGATGAATGCACATGTTTATATTTTAGCCTTTAGTCCTGTGAGTTGATATAGATTTTAGCTGGGAAAACCAAAGGTATTAGACAAAATGTTGAAAAATGAAGTTCTATAAATGAAAAATCATAGTGGTTTATATTAAGTTTCTAATATACTCATCTGATAATTACATGATTAGGTAGATTTTCTTTTCTTAAATTATTTCTTATGTCCCCAATAGAACAGAATGTCTTCTTTGAAGGTTAGGATACAAATTACCTAATTAAGTTGAAGACTGTGTGTAAATAAAATCAAATGTATGATAAAATTGATGCTGTGCATGGTAATTCTGAACACACTGTTGATGTATTCACACAAAGAACAATAAAGTGACTGACAGGTAAATTCATCAACTTTTGTTTGTTAACCCTAATCTTAATCTTATTTACTACAACTATGCTCTTATATTGAAGATGGCCAATATAATCTGGCGTGTGGATAGATACAGTAATAATGTGCAGAGAGGAAAACCTGGTAATGTATTTGCTTCCTGTTAACGTGGAAAGTTGGTTTCCTTGCTTATGTGAAACTTTTGTGTAATTAGATATTCTCAGAAGCCTCAGTTGGAGCCAGTAAGACATCTTTGAGATTAAAGCATTTGCTTTGCAAGCCTGACAACCCCAGCTCAATACCTGAGTCCCATGGTGGAAGGAGAGAATTGACTTTGCTAAGTGGTCCTCTGACCTCCATACTTGCACCTTGGTGCATGTGCACCTGTCCCCACTCACACGAGAACATATACAAAATGATAAGGAAATCTTAACAGGCAAATTTTGTTGGAATCTGATTACTTCCCATATCACTGAGGATGAACCTTGGGTCTTAGCCATGACAAGCAAGCTCACTGCACATTAAGCTATTCCCCCAACTTAATCTGCTTCTTAAAAACAGCACTGCTGTAACTCTATTTTTCACACCATCCATCATCATATTTTTGCCACCATCTTGCTCCTCTTCAAAATCTGAAACAAACAGCTTAAAATTTAACTTTTAGCCAATGTCAAGATGACTCTACTCTGTGCCCACACTTCTTTCCAAACTAATGTCACTATTTTATTATGTATTCTAAAAAAAATTTACACCTAGATAACTAGATTCTTTTCTAGATTCTTGGTTCAGAACAAACAAACAATAAAAAAAGGAAGGAAACAAAACACTCATCTTCCTGTACCATCCCTACAATTGTCTCTACTGAACTCATAAAACATTCTTGTTATATATGAATTCCTATTCCCAGTTACTAGATCAGTTGTAGATATGTCACAATAAAATAGATATTAAGCTCTTTAAGGTCATTTGAAGGACTTATGAGAAAAAAATGCAGACAGCAGAATCCTGGCATAAAACCAGTGGATGATGGTAGGGTCTCAGTGCCTTCCAAAAGAGCGTTGCCCACATTACCAATGCCTCAAAACTCAGAGACTTGGCAGGAGAACAAGATGACCAGGGCTGAAGTTATAGATGAAGAAGGAAGGCATAACACATGTTGATATTACCCAAAGTGGAGTGGATGTTTTAATTGGTTTAGGTTATTTAGCAGTTGCAAGAGAGTGCTTCTAGGTTACAGAGAGCACTAACTGATGAACTGTGGAAAGAAGCCACATTCCAGCACCTGTGGTACAGAGTGTCCATTTGAGAGACAATGAGTGAGTAAATCCCTGTAAAGTGAGATGATTTCAGTTGTAGACTCTAGTATGCAGCTTCACTGTCAGCTGCTGCAAGTCTAGGACAAACAGGGGCTTCCCAGTGTGGCAGCATGGAGCCATAGAATTTTAGAGTTCTTCACAATACATTTTGAGAACAAAGATATCTAAACTATATAATTTTAATATTAGCCAAACCCCTGGGGCTCTTGAACTATTCATGAAGTAGAAGCTCTCTCCTAGTAAATGCCTGTGGAGGTGTAGTGAGGCACACACACCAAAATCATGCAATTATCACCACACTTGTATTCTGGGACCCCCCAAAAAGTCCCTTCAGGTCAAATTAAGTCAGTGTTTAATCAGAGCTTGTCTGACAATATGTATAGTTGCTCTTTATGTTCATGATGCAAAATATTTTTAAAGACTAAATTTTGAATTTGTAAAGATTCATCTCATTCATCTGATGAACACATCCTATTTTAAATGGAATTTTTAGCATTGCAGCAATGCTTCTTCCTGACCCTATAAATATAATCCTAGACAGCTAAGGAAACCATGTGCTGCTTACAGGCTCTACTCAACTGCTGCATTTTAAAACTGCTCCCCACTGTGCTATCCTTGGAGGCGATAAAGAAGAGCTGTTTATTACCAGGCTCTCCCCAACCTCCATCTTCTTGTTCCCTTGGGTCCTCATACTTCAAGACTATGATTGCATCTAAGCTGAAATAAATCACCTATAGAATGCCTATGTTCTACAAGGAAGCAGAGTTGCAGCCTGCCATATGAACGCAGTCCTTGAATGGAGTAGATAGACAATGGCACTTTGCCTTTAAGGATCTCTAAAGGCTAGAGAGCTAAGAGAGTCTAAGGTAACAAATCCATTAACCTAGGCTTCATGCCCTACCCACTTTTACTCCATCTCACTCTATTTCCATGTTCATGTGAAACTTTAAACATCTTGCTTGTATCCTGCTACTTTGCCAAAAGGACTATGTCTCCTCAGTCATATCTGTGCAATAAAAAATCTTCCTCTATCCTTTTGTAATTTGAATCATCTTTCATCAACTCACCTGTCCTTCCCAATGACAGATCAAATCATCTACTGGCAATGAATATAATAATAAACAAATTGGGTAGAATGTTGTAAGGTAGAAGGGGAAAATTATCCACTGAAGGAGTTCAGAGTGCTAAAATATGTAAAGGTAAAGTGATAATGTGCAATAGTAATACTAATGAGGAGGATAAAACACTGACATGTTTTACTTCTTCAAAGATAAATGTATATTAATGTCCTTTTAACAACAAAATAGCTAAGTAAATAAACTTAAGAGGAGGAAGTTTTTGTTTTCCAGTTTCAGTCCATGGGCTGCTGAATCAATTGTTAAAGGCCTGTGACAAGCAGAAGCATCATCGTGCCCAGGATACGGTGGACCTTTTAACAGTCAAGAAGCAAACAAAACAGAGCTTCTAGATGCCTTCTATCTTCTGTCTGTGTCCCATCTCAGACTCATGTCAACAAGACAGTTCTCCCACATTAAAAATGGGACTTCTCTCCTAGGCTGTGGTCCTATATAACAACTATGTCTGGAAACCTCTTCTTAGACATACCCCAAAATGTGCTTCATTAATCTCACAAACAAATGATAAGGTCAATCCAGATTTACCATTACAAGAAATAAATAAGGGAAAATTAATATCTATGGAAGTGGGTTGCAGCAAAAATACTAGAAAAAAAGCAGTTTTGTGGGATGGGGATAGCCTAGTGTATTGAAGGGGAAAACTAGGGACCAGAGTAGATGATGAAGAGTCAAGGATAAGACACAGGAAACTGTCTGAGTAGCAATAGTCCAGATCATGAGGCCTGGAGCAGCACTTCATCAAAGATAGTGTTTAGACAGGCGAGTGAACAATGAGACCAGATGGGAGAAAATCTGTTGCGCTACAATGATCCAATGAGTAGATATTATGTTTCTGTTTTAACAATATTACTAAGAATTAGTGTCTCAGCCCCAGTGGCTACAACTACAGAATGACCTCTGCATCTAAGACTCAGAATATCGCAGAAAAGGAAGCAGAAAAATTGAAGAACCGAAGGATCAGGGTATCTGATGTCATCCCTCAAGAAATGACAGTGAAATTTCACCCATTATACACCACCAATATAGGTGCCTAATTAAGATCGGCACAATGACAATACCAATAGACATACCAATGTGGAAGAGGGAAATCTCCTAGTATCTCACCCCTAAACAAAGAAAGGCAAACAACTACAAAATGCTAAGAGCAGGAGAAATAGTCTTCCTCAGGGATAAGCAACCTAATTGGTTATCCAGTATCAAGTGGACAGTCCAAGAAATTATATGCATACAAGTAACACTAGTTGAACCCAGAAGTTTGTAGTTATATATTTATGCATTTTATATGTGTGTACGAATAAAAAAGAAAAAGAGAGAGCAAGGAGAGTAAATATAGGAGGTACTGGACAGAGGAAAGGAAAGAGGGTAAAGGTATAGTTATATTTTAATTAAAAAGAAAACAATAGAGAATACTGTATCATGAATAATAATACATAACTTCAGAAAAAGGACATTAAATATATAACTTTCAAATTATGTATATTTTATTTACAGAAAAATGGAGACAAATACAAACGACTGACACAAAATGTCAAGACTTATCAAAACCATTTAACCTTCATTTAAAAATATTCCAATTTGAAGCTATGGAGCTGCACCTGAGGAGGCCATCAGAACTTTGATAAAGATATCTACAAATAACAGAATTGGAGTATAGTCAGTATGTTCTAAATTATATATAAAAATACATCAGATAAAGTGTGCTGTATTTAAATATTGTGTTTAAAAGATAATTATACTCTCATATGTTATAAGCATATCATTAAGTATATGTTATATGAATATTCATCACAGTAATATTAATAAATATCATAATATTGTAACATTATATCCCAAGTGTTATGAATGCATGCCATTCAAAACTGAGCATGATTTGTTTTGCCATTTTTAATCCATCAGCAGCACTTCTTGTTAAGTAATAAAAGCAGTAAGAGGTTCAGGATAAGTATTCATTCCTCATTGGAGAATTCTTTAATTAAGTTTTTAAAATTAATTTTTGAAAAACTTAAATATTATTTTAAAGTATAGTTTTCATTAATATTCCTACTTGAAAATAGGTACAAGAAATTTACTTTTAAAATATAACTTTAATATATACACTGCCTTGAATTTTAAAAATGAGGTTGTCTCATATTTGAAAAGTGTACTCACTCTAAACTCTTTTAAAGGGAAAGTATACTCAGAGAAATACACACAACATTCATTAACAGTCAAGTACACAGACACACAACACACACACTTGAAATTGTTTCCACTGCCCCACAGAAGTCAATCAAAAGTAAATTTAAATGATCAGGCCACCTCCTTTCCCACCTCACCAGTCTTTTTAGAGGGAGAAGGCAGTCTTCAGAGCAAAGTAAGTGGACAGATTGAAGAACGAGGAGGGGGGTAATGTTTTCTGGAAGTAGCTCTGAGAAATCTTGTTCACAGCCTGGAACTGCATAAATTTTCTCTGCATATGTTATTGCTACCTTGGGGGCCATGATAGCATATGCATTTTGGGTTTTGCAAAAAATAGATATATGTACACTAGTATGTGTGTTTAATGCATAAATATTATGATGACTTTCCTTTTGTGGGACTCTGTAGTCCCTTCAGACTTTACGGTGGTATATGCATTAAATAAACAGCAATATTTGAGAGTGCCTGTGTTTTTGGAGAAAGCACAAAAAACAAGGTTAGAAGGTGGTGGCTATCATTGGCAAATTTAGACCACCTCAGTAGTGGAAAAGTATTAAAGCAAATAAACTCAATGAGGCAACAAAGACGTTTAGAGACAACCCTGGTTCCAAAAGAAAAACCACTATGAGTATATGAATGGGATACAGACTCCTGGAGCAGACAACCACACTTACACATCAGTGCAGCAGCTCAAAAAGCTAGCAATGCAAACTAACACATGAATCAAACATACAGTATCATGAAAAACAAATACTTCTGACCAGGTGACACTAATAAAACAAATCACTCAGCATCCTGAACACCTATGGGCTGTCACTGTGAATAGGTGTTATTGCTGATTGTCAGTAAAGTTCTTAACACACTTTGTTTTACCAAAAAAGATACATGGTTGGCGTTCCTGGCTTTTGCTGTCCTTTGTATGCATGATGACACGATATGATGAAAGCAGATGACTGTAAGATGTTTTGTTTCCTGGCAAGTTCCCTGAAACGGAGATTGACAAATCTAATATGAATCCCCAGAAATCTGGTTACTTGTAAGCGTCAGTACTCTGGAATACATAAAATAAATGCATGATCAATGAAATGAAATATGACAAAATATTTAATATTGATGTTTTCTTTTTTCAAAAACGTCTTTTTGGTTAATGCCCCTAGTCAGTTTTTCCATACATTTTCTTATTCACAATGTATAGATTTTCTAGTTCTGATTTCAAGTTCAGGGGAGCCTGGGGAGAAGCAGGAGATCTCCCCAAGCCAGAGCTGCTGCTCGGCCTTTCACATGAGAAAATTGTTAGGCACATTAAAGTATTCCTGACGACGCTACATTCCTTTGTTCGGAGTGAGTTTTGGGAACACATCCTTTTCTCATTATATTTCCATAAAATATATTTGATCTATTCTATTCTTAGAATACCTCTGATGTGGTCTGTGAGTGGAGCACAGTATAAAAATATTTCTTTTTTATATGAGACAAAATGTTTCCATTTCTTAGACACATTAAAAAAATCACTATGTAGCGCTCTAAGAAAGTAAAACGTGTCGGGTCTGTTTTTGGTGGGACTCAGGAGAGACCACAAAGACCCCTCCCCTTCCATTGTAGTTCTGAACCTCACCCAAGACACAGAGGCCTCAGCAGAACAAAAGGGGATCAGGCCTTTAAGTAGAGGCCAAAAAGACTGCTAAAGATTGGGTCCTGGAGCTAGAAAAGCTCATTTATATTTAGAAGAAATGAAAGGAATTACCTCTCTTCCTCTAAGAAAAAAATGAGTCCTACTAAATTTATATTGGTAACTAAAGACGGTCAAATATTTTAATAGCTTAATGTGAGTGGTTAATGTTTCCAACTAGTGGCAAATAGTTGGGATGTTTGCTTAGTTAATTCAATTTAAAAACCACTGGGAGCCAAACCTGCTCTTCCACAGTTTTTTCTCACACACCCTCAGAGGCAGCACCAGGTCTCAGGTCTCCCAGCAGCCCTGGTTGGTGACTACTACCTTGGCTGGCCTTCTTCTTTGAGAGCACATGTCTTTGGCATACCTTAAGAGAAAACAAACAAACAACAAACAAAGAGTAAAAGTAAGATCTAAATTTTACTTGTCAAGTTCAAAATGAAAATGAAATTTTATCCCTGAAGGATTGTCCCTCATGATATCCAAAAATGGCATAGAAGAAATCTACTGCTGAACAGTAGATTTAATTTTAGATCTAATTTAATCTGCCTAATTTAAATTTAAATCTACTGCTAAATGGTTGCACACTTAACAGATTTTTTTTTATATTTTATTTTCCAGTTTAAATTTAGATAAGAAACGAGTTTGCTTCACAAGTCAGTTCCAGGTCCCTCTCCCATTCCCTCCCCTCCTCCCGTGCCCTCCCCCCAACCCCCCCGTTATCCCCTCATTCCCCCAGGGAGGGTGAGGCCCTCCATGGGGGTGTCCATAGTCTGTCATTTCATATAGGGCAGGGCCTAGACCCTTCCCCAAGAGTTCAGGGTGAGAGTGCACCTCACACTGTTCTATGGGAGTCCAAAGTCCGTGTGTATACTTGGGATGGGTACTGATCTGCTGCCCAAGGCTCAATAGATTCCCTAGGCCTCCTCACTGACACCCAGATTCAGGGGGTCTTGATCAGTCCCATGCTGGATTCAACAGATTTTAATGACAAATATAAGCCTTGTGATGAAGAGGATTTAGTCTCTCTTGTTTAACGGATATTACAAAAAGTATGAATAAAGGGGTGAACTGAGAAGATGGACCTCTTCCTTCATTTCTTCACCTAGCCAAAAAAAAAATGCATGAAATGGAACCAGTGAGATGGCTCAGTGGGTAGAGGGAAAACCAATTCTTGCAAACTGCCCTCTGAATTCCACCTGTGTTCTCAGCACATGCACACACGCACGAGCGAGCACACACACACACACACACACACACACAAGAGAGAGGGGGGAAGAAAAACAGAAAGAAGGGAGAGATAGTGAAAGAAGGAAGAAAGAAAGAATCAAAGAAAGAAAGCAAAGAAAGAAACAAAGAAGCAAAGAAACAAAGAAAAAAGAAAAGGAAGGAAGGATATAAAAATGAAATATATGAAGTATGGAAAATCTGCCCTTCTAAACAGAAAGCCTGACTGGTTATCCAAGGAAATCTTATTCTTTGCCCAAGAGATGTTCCCTGCATGTTTGAGAAGTAGCTGTTCCTTAGTGTTAGTAGGTACAAGAGTGCCTAGATGCTTTTTACAAGACATAGTATGGTGTTAAAATAACTAAATGTTTCTGTTACAGATTGAAAGAAAAATAGCACTCCAATCTTGAACTCTCACACAGTACCCAGCCTGCCTTCTACTGTAATAGATGAAGCTGTATACACATGTGTATACTTCTGATACAGTGACACATAGGTAACAACATGCAAGGAAACAGTAGGGACTATGAGAGAAATAATACTGGAATACAACATTCAAAACAAATGCATTAAATTTCATCTCTGTTAGAAAAGGACACAATGTATTCAAATATATGAAATTATTTTTCATTTTGTCATATTGCTTTGTTCTTAATGTGTTTATACATGACACAAGAATCACAGAAATGTATTACAGTCATATTCAACAGTCTAGTTTTTGATTCATTAAAAATATCCAAGAAAAATAACAACACAGATTTGTAAATGTTTAAGAAATGTGTAGATTAGAGTAATAATATTTTACCTTGAAAAGGGCTTGAAGTGCAAGTAGGACCCAGAAGGGTAAAATCCTGTGGCTTCCGATCTATGGTAGATGAGGGACTATATGAAATTAAACAGGAATCTGTAATAACAAATGTGGGTGCATGCAACTAGGAATACAAAACAAGGTAGCGCTAGATATTGGAAATGAATGCTTGGGAGTTTTGTGTGTTCCTATATAAGCATGGTTCTGTTGTTTACAATCTCAGCATATATCTTACAATTTCTACAAATAAAATTAGGCAAAATTTACATTATGCAAATTGTTCCCTAATACATCCCTCACATAATTCATGTTTTAAAATAAGTTCTAGAGCAAAACTTCCTATAACATCCACTAACCCAATGAAAGATACTGAGGCACAGATCAGCCTGATCCATACATTATTACCCTTTTACATTCTCATATAGTGTGATTTCCTCCTAACTACAGCTGAAATCTGTTTGCTAGATCTTTGGATTTCTTAAAAGTATCAAGTTGAGGGAGTAACAAACCACTATTTGATTGAAATTAAGGGCCATTCTGCGAAACAGAGCCCATGCCCAATACTGCCTAGGTAGCTGAGGGCCTGAGATGAGATAGGACATGTACCTAGGGGAAAAACCAAGTACTATTGTTCTGCTGAAGAACAGCAGAAATTAAGCAATTCCTACATACATTCCGCTATACCCATAGATCAGTGTCTGGATCAGGCATCATCATAGACACTTCTTTCTGCATTAGATGGGGACAAACACAGAGACCCATAACTGGACAATGTGCAAAAAGTGAGAGATCTTAGAAAACAGCCCTAGATGGGATTTCTCCATCAATTCTTTCCCCTCATGGCTGAGGAAACCCCAAGGAAGAAGATGCAGCAGACTGTAAGAACCAGAGGGGTAGACAACACCAAGGAAATGAGGCCTTCTAGACACAACAGGACTGGTGCACATATAACTCACAGAGACTGTGGCAGCATGTCCTGCACAGGTCTAAACCAGATGAGGTTCCAGAACTGGTAGAGGAAGGAGGCACAAATCTGAATCCCTAAACTAGATATTATCTACAATTAATGATTCTCATAGAGGAAAAATTAGTTTTCTTCAATGGAGAAACTATTCTTATTGGCTATTCATCATACATAGGAGTGGATTCCAGACCAGCAATAGATAACCAATGCAAACCACATGTAACAAACCACATGTGTTCTGCAGCACCACACACACACACACACACAAATACACTCACTCACTTAGATCTGTACTCCTTTTTAAATTGGATTCTTTGGGTCTTTTATGTCTAGTTTCTTGTGTTCTTTATATATTTTGGTTATTAGCCCATTGTCTGATGGGGTGGAATTGGTGAAAATCTTTTCCCATTCTGAACTATCTTACATCTGTCGGAATACTCTATCATTGTTGGTGGTATTTGGTGTCTAGTTTCTTGAGTTCTTTATATACTTTGAAGATCACCCTTCTGTCAGATGTGGGATTGGTGAAGATCTTGTCCCATTCTGTGGGCTGTGGTTTTGTCTTATTGACTGCATCTTCTGCCTTACAGAAAATTCTGTTTCAAAGGTCCCATTTATTGATTGTTGGTCTCAGTGTCTATACTATTGGTTTTATATTTAGGAAATGGCCTCCTTTGCCCATGTGTTCAAGACTATTTCCCACTTTCTCTTCTATCAGATTCAATGTAGAAGAATGCAAATAGATCCATATGTATCCCCAAGCACAAAAGTAAAGTCCAAGTGGGTCAAAGACCTCAACATAAATCTGGTCACTCTGGTTTTAAATGAAGCATGGCCCTTGAAACCCAAAACTTCTCCATACACATACATGTCTCTAATGAATTATACTACAACCACATATATAAGAAACCATTAAAAATAGATAATCTCAAATTTTTACCATTTTTCATAGTCTTGATTTTGAAGTCCTATGAAAAGTAGATGGAGATAATCCAACATTGCTACTTCTCTGCCCACTACAATATAGAGTCACTATTAATACCTTTTTGAAACATCAGTTTTTCCTTCTATTCTCTGTTCTTCTTAATTACCATTATCTAAGATTAAGAACTGAGAAATAACTTTTCCTTCTTCCTTTAACAGTGTTTTTTCTACTTTCTATAAAGTTCCACATAGTCATGACAATACTAAAAGGTCCTCTGGTATTCTCCAAGCCCAGCCAGAAAAGTTATGTCAGACATAATATGGAAGAGTTGTCAAGGAGGACAATATCCAGATACTTCAAAGTAAACAAATAGCAAGAACAACAGAAGTACTAAAGAAATGAACTTCTTCAAGCATTAATCAATAGACTATTAATCTGGAAGTGGATGCAAGAGTCCAGTGAAATTATGTAAAGTCTACAAATTGAGTGTGCCTTTGTAAACTAGAGCAACTACTACATATTGCTACCTTGAACTTTGCAAATTGTCTTCAATGACTGTTTCAAAGCTGTATTTTGCAAGTAGAATTAAACATAAACTAATAAAGTAAATTGGTATGTATGTAGCACATTTATGGTATTGCATATGAAGAGATAACATTAAAAATTTTATTTTCACCCCTTCTCATGTTCACATCCATTCCTAAGAACATTGTATATTATATTCCCAATGTCTCCTTTATGAGCACATGACCCTTATTAATTGCTAGTAATAACTATTAATACTACCAGTATCATTAACTTCCATTTTGTGCCCAAGAGAGGTTCAAAGCATTAATAATGATGTTTCAGTCCTTTTGTACAGAAGGATTATTAGTAATTGAAACAAGAAAATAAAAGACATTTATAGATGTAGCAATAACCAACAGAGGTCTCCCTCCACCCCACCCCCATTAACCAGATTATAATTGGGAAGGGAGACATTCTTTCTTCATACAGTACATAGTTGTTCAAAACAAGGACGTTACATGTTAAGTACCCTCATATTTATTCTTGTCACAAATGCCAATGTTGAAATAATCACAGAGTCAGGACAAACATACTACTCTAGGCAATAGTTACTATTCAATCTGGGATGGATTCTGTCTCCTGTACAACCAGCAAGTATTCCAAATTCTCGTGTCTTGAAGTGATTCAGTGGTAAACTGAGGAGTTTGGAATTTGACTGAGAGTGGTCCAGGTGATGCTGTGATAATGAACAATCACTAAACCTCACTAGCTCTGAGTGCTTCTACCAGCAACATTTGCAGTTGTTATTTAAACAAAGTTTAAGTTTTCCTTGCCTGAGTGTTCTGTGTGGGCCGAATGGGGTCACTTTCCTGCTTTGTCATAATCTTCACTCAAAGACCTGTGACAGTAGAGCTATAAATGCATGGAATTCGGCTGGTTACATTTACAAAGGAAAACCACCTATGGCTTCTCAAAGTCTTGGGGCATGTCTATACTCCATTGGTTAATTCCGGTCATGTGACCATGCTTACTTTCAAAGAGGTGATGAACAATTTTTGTGAGTAGTCTGGTAACTTAAAATAATTCCTTATTCATTAAAGCATGAAAACTGTCATTAGCAACTTAATATAGCTAGTGATTTCAAGAAGAGAACACAAGGCAATCAGCTGCTTTGTCAGACTGTTATAAAAGGGGCATTATGAAAATATGTTATAATCTGACTTCAAATTTCCATTATTAAACACATTAAAATTTTCAGATTACAATATTATATGAACATCAAACCAGCATTTTAGGGGTTAAAAGTGAAAAGGGGATTATTTTTCATTGAATGTTATTAGATAACCCAAGAACATGTGACCTAAATCATTTCATTAGTAGTGGGAACTGTGTAGAATTTAAAAAAATAGATGTGTTTAGAAGCTTATAAATGCTAGGAAAGTTTTATAATCATTAAATAGCTAAGGCCTGATGTTAGCGGAAAAAAATATGATTTGATCTTCATTCCTGTGCCCACATTCTGAATGTACCAGCTCACGTGTCAGCCATGGACTTGCCATGCTTGGTTAGATGTGTCTTCTTCAGTTACCACTTGGTTACTAACATGACCAAGGCCAGCGCCTTCTCTCCAGCATGGTTTGGCTGTCACATGTAAAAGTGATCTGGCTTGTTTAAACAGAATATTTTCTTACTGGTCTCTGTTATTTTATATCACAGCAGAGAGAGCTTTGAGTTAATAAACAGCATTTTACCATGGCTTACATGTCAAAATAGGTCATAGAACCTTAATGGGGTCTTTAGAAAATCGATAACATCACCATAGCTGATGCCACACAAGTGTGAATAAGACCAGCCTGCAGCTCAAACTGTTGCCAATATATTCTGTCTTTTATTCGTCTCGTGTGCTCTTTGAGTATCCATCTCTTCTCTCAAACTTGATTTAAAACTTTGCTTAATGCAGAAGCCAAGCTGCTCACTTCTGTTAAATCAACTGTAGAAGGTACGCAGCTACATACATGGAGGTCCCCTGACACTTCCTTTTTAGTGACACTTACTTATTAAAATCAAGGAGGGAACAGAGGAATATTGTTCTTTGATTTTAAAAATACTTTCGAGAACTGCCTAATGGCCTAGGATGTATGAAGTTTGGGGAAGAAAAGTAGACCCCGATATTTGTGCTCAAACAGTGTCTTAAAAAACATACAGCAAATCTCTGAACACAGTTTGGTTGTGACAGTGGAGTAGTGGTGCAGCTGGCACCCAGTGGATGGAGTCAAGGGACAATGTTATGGGTCTTACAATGCTCAAGAGACCTTGGTAGCAAGAACTAGGGAGCATCAATGTAGATCATGTCCACGCTGAGAATTTCTGTCCTATAGTGGAGTAGAGTTGGAGAGTGAAAAGCAACATTAAGGCAAACTTTTAAAGTTTATTTCCTATATTTTTTGAGATAATAATATAGTTACATATCTCTCCCTTTCTCTTTCTCCCTCCAAGGCCAGCCATCTAACTTCTCTGACTTCTTTCAAATGAATGGTCTCTCTCTTCCATAACTGTTGTGATATACTTACATTTACATGTAAATAACTGTATATTATGCATATGTATGTATAAATGTATATTCCTGAATAAATAAGTATGACCTGCTCAGCTGTATAATGTTACTTGTGCGTAGTTTATTTTCAGGTCTGACCACTTAGTATAAACTAACCAATGAGTGTATGCTTCCCTGGGGAAGACTATTTTTCCTGCTCTTATTCCTTAGTTAACTGTAGCCCTTTGTGTAGGGTTGAGTACTCACAGGGGCTTTCCTCCACCTATGTCAGCATGCCTATTGTTATTGTCTTTGTTCATCTCCTGTTTAGGTAGTCATGCTATTAAGAATTTCTGGGTGTAGTTTCTGGCATTTCTGGAAGACACAGTCACACAGCAAATTTCCTGTTGGGCTCTTAACAGTCTTTCCATTTCCCTGAGCCTTAGGTGCAGAAATTATTTAGTAGATGTCTGGGTTGGGTCTGGACTCTACAGTTGTGTTTGGAGTTATGGTCTGCCTCTGTTGCAAAGAGAATCTTCTTTGATGCAGGTTGATGACCTGTGGGTATAAGAAAAAACATTTAGAATGGAGTTAGGGGTTATGCTGGATTATAATAAAGTAGCAGTTTAGGTTTTCTTTCAAAGTCCATGAATTCACTAGCCCTGGGGGTAATATAGATTTATGATTTCCCTTTTGCTGAGCGGGTCATAAGTCCAATTAGAGACCTGGTAGTTACAGCCAAGGAATGCATGACACTACTGAACCCTTAGGGTTATCATGCTAATCATTAAGACCAATTCTTAATAGTGATTTTTATCTATCCCCCACTGATCTAAGTGACAACAATTTCAATATTTTTATCTAACTGAAGACCATAAAATAGATAATGACAGCCTTTGGGTTCAAACATATGACAAAACTATAAACAGAAGTTATTAAGCAAAATGTTGTGATTGAGGAGTGTGGTTTTGGCGGGGGAGGGAGCATGAAAAAAGTTAACATCTTCAATAACATAAGTAAGATAAGTAGTAATATAAGTAAGTAATGTAAGTAGGTTAGGCTAAGTTTAGAAAGCTACTTGTTTGTTCAAGAGTAGAAAAGTAATGGTAAAAATTTGCATGTGATACATCATATTACATTGCAAAAGAATAAGAAACAGCTAATCTTCTTGATTAACTGTAACCCACATAAATATGCATCATTTACAGGTAGGAATACTAGAATTCTGTGACATAAACGTATGAAGTTTGTGTGCCACGCAAGATTTAGCAATTGATAGTCAAGTCTACTGTTTCAATATAAGTGTTGGGAACACTTAGTATGTACAACTGAATTCCATATAACACAAAGTAAACAACTGCAAAAATATCAATGTATTATTTGTTACTGCAAATCCTCAATTAAATGTTAAATCTTTGTGTTCATCAGAGATTCAAAACTTCATAGTAACAAAATTTCATGGGCATACATTGTCTCTTCTTTATCTTTGTGTATAGACCTCTCTCTTCTCTCTCTCTTGGTCTCTCTTGTGCTCCCCCTCTTGCTCTCTCTCTCTGTCTCATTCTCTCCTTTATTCCCTTTGCCCTCTCTCCTTCTCTCCTCAGAAAATACAGGAGCCTTATTTCCTCACTCACTCATTACTCAGAATATAAAGGAAGGCATAACTTTTCTGTCTCTATCAAGTTTACTGAAGGTATTATTAACAATCTTCATCCAGTGGTCTTTGCATCATTAATCTCCTTTGTATTTTATTATAGATTTTTTGCTATTGTTCTTTCCAATGTCCATTTCACTTATTGCCTCAACGAGCTAACAGATGATTTTTATTTTCATTTTTTATATTTTATTTTGTATTCTTATGTTTTTCAATTATTCAACATATAGTTATTGAATAACCACTATGTTTATGGAACATATAAGACTAGAAAATGACAGTTAACAAAATATATGCCATTTTTTCTTTCCCTTATATCCCTTACAAGTATTTAAAGAAGGTAACCAAATGGTCTGGCAGTGCAGCATGTAAGAAATCTTTTTATGAGAACTGGAGAGGAGACATCAAAGTTGAGATACTAGAGTTTTTGACATCCAGAATTCAATATGAAGAATTAGAACATAATACCCTGCCAGGCAATGAAAGTAGATTTATTTTAAGTGATGTAAATAGCATCTAACGGTAACATGATTGGGTGTATGTTTTCAAACTACCACTTCCTCAAACAGCACTACAATGGGCCAGGTGTTGAAGCAGGGACATCAGCCAGAAGTCACTGGCAGTTTTATTTCAAGATGTGATGTTGAACTGTAGTGGAAGAGAGCCGAGATGATGTGACTATGTGCAGTGGAGGGGAACAGGAAAAGCCAGGCTTCTGTTGAAGTTTCTGACAAGTGGAGTTCGCTAGAAAAATAAGATGACTTCAGTTTTAGATCTGAGCTATTTCATTTCTAAGGTGTCTACCTTGAAAAGGAAATGTCTGTATGGAGAGACCTTGGATAAGTTATTGATTTTATGACTCTAAATCCTAAGATGGAAGCCATTACAGTATGTATGTATGTATAATATATTATAGTATAGTATATATATATATATATTATGCAAGTATGTATGTATGTATATGAAATTATATGTTTTTCAGTTAAATGAGCACATTATATAAAGCTATCTTTTAAATATGGGTCCAAGAGTGTAAAGTTAATAGTTCTTGAGGAGTCTCATCCCAGGCTTAGGATATCTTTTCCCCTGACTGTTTCAAACTCACATTCCTTATAACTGTGTTTGCCAAAAGGTTAAACCGAACTACTATAAATATCTTACATTTGAGTATTTTTTTCACAATATGCTAAAATTCTTTCCCATACTTCTCTGGACAGTTTCAAAACCATAAGCTGCTATTAGAAAAACAGTCAGAAGCCAGAAAACTGGGCTATAACCACAGACCAGTAGTTCTAATGAGGCTACCATATTTATTCTGGGGTCATAGCCAGTGTTCAGACCCTGGAGTCCAGAAATCAACCAAACCAACACCTAAGATCCAAGCCAAAGGTCAGGGCCAAAACTGTGGGTGAAACCAAGAACCCACTACAGGATTAGCACATCAGAGCAGCCCAGTGCTTATGGGAAGTTCAGGGCCCTGCTCACTTCCTGGGTCCTTTGGAGGCATTCCCTGCCCACACGCTGGGCTGACACTCTTAAGCAATGCATTCTCTGAGGTGGCAGTGGGGAATCCCCTGTGTCTTTATAGGACCTTGCCTTGAAGCTACTGACAAACCTTAAATATGTTCTGCTATTCTTTTAGAACAGGCACATAACTCTTAAACAATTTTGAGTATTATTTACTAGTCTTTTAAAATATCTAAATAGAAAAGCAAGCATTGTTTAGATTAAACTGACAACAGAAGGAGCAAAAGAATACTTCCATAATTAATTGGGCTTCTTTTAAAGAACGTAAAATGTTAAAAATAGAAACCCTATATTCTGTTTTGAACATGATTCATACTGTCACAAAGTTGTTCTCTCACTCACACTCTTCCTGGGAACTTTGGTAACAAGTCTTAGATTTCTCTCTTTTTAACCTTTGATGTAACAAAAAGAGCTGTGTAGTTAAGAAACTAAGGCTTTCATTCAGCTGTGTTCTTAAAATGAATTGATCATGGTAGATCTGTCTTTGGATATGTAAGCTTGAATAGACAGTGCAGTTATGGGTCTCAGTCTCTTTACAGGTCTGTATCTGTGACATCCATGAAAAGCTTCATCTTCAGTTAAGTGCATTACTTCCACTTTGGCATTACTACCAACGAAAGCTAGCATTGTTATGAATTCTTCTCTATGCCCTCAGAATGTTACAATGCGTGTGTAAAACTGAACATGTATAACTTTGTTTTTATTTCTTGTCTCTAAACAAGGCAGGGATCATTGCTCTGAACATTGTATACTTTTCTGGCTAAACATTAGATTTCACACATTTTTTAATGCTGCGTTGTATTCCATTACGTAAATTTATTTCCTTTGGCCAGCTATGCAAAATAGATAATTAACACAGACACTTCACTACCAAGATTATAGTGCTACAGCTGATGCATCACCTGTATCATATATACATAAACATATCTCCTGGAAAATTTGTCCAAAACAATTTGATGAAATAGGAGGTATTGCACTGGTGATTTTAAGTCATAACTCTCAGTGCCTTCCACAGATTCACACCCATTTCAACTTCTCCACTACTTCATCCATAGATTATTGTGGAAAACTTACTTTGACTTTTTTCAAAGTAAAGGGAAAGACTCTATCACTACATCAAAACTTAATATTTTATTGTTGTACTGTTAGTATGAATCATTTCACAGTGCAAGCAGACGGAGATATGGGGTTTTCCACAGTCTTTGCATTTTTTTATATAGGTGATCTTTTTAAAATCACTGGTTTCAAAGCAATGGTGGAGAGGCTACCTTAAATGCCCTTCTCCAATTAAAAGAGATTGATGACTATCTTACATGCCATTCTAGAGCCTTCATCCAGTAGCTAATGGAAGGAGAAACAGACACCCAAAGCTAAACACTGAGCTGAACTTCTGCAATCCAGTTGTAGAGAGGGAGCAGTGATGAGCAAAAGGGTCAAGACCTGGCTGGAGAAACCTACAGAAACAGCTGACCTGAACAAGGGGGGAGCTCATGGACCCTAGACTGATATCTGGGAAGCCAGCATAGGACTGATCCAGACCCCCTGAACATGGGTGTCATTTACAAGGCCTGGGCAATCTATGGGACCTCTGGTAGTGGATCAGTATTTATCCCTAGTATACGAATGGATTTTGGGAGCCCATTCCACATAGAAGAATACTCTCTCAGCCTAGACATATGGGGGAGGGCCTAGGCCCTGCCCCAAATGATATGACAGCCTTTGGAGATGCCCCATGTAAGGCCTCACCCTCCCTGGGGAGAAGAAAGGAAATGGGATAGGGGGCCGGAGGGTGGCAGGGGAGGGGGGGGAGGTAGAGGGAACTGGAATTGACATGTAAAACAAACAAGCTTGTTTCTAATTTAAATAAAAAAGACAACAAGAACAAAAACAAAACTGTAGCTTTATGTTTTGAACATCTTATATGTGGATAAAAACAAATAATGGTCAATGTCACTACCATAATAAGACTGTATGAAAAGACTGATAATAATAATAATGATGATGATGATGATGATGATGATGGTGATGATGATGCAGAGAATCAAAATGGATCAAATATCAACTATTCATGGAGCAACACACCCCAATAAAGCATTCAAGATGCATAGGACTGCCCATAGATGCAGATGAAAGACAACAACAGAGAAATGAGTAAATGAAGAAGGCTGCATTTGCACAGACTAGGAAACAATATCCTGGTGATGCCAATTTGATTTAAATTATCTTCTACATTTTGTGGGCAATTCTTCTCCAGGGTGACTGGAATGTTTTTAGATTTTTTTAAGACTGGAAAAAATAATTCTATCTTTAAAAAATTAAAATAAATTTGTATTTTAGAATTTTAATAAGTTAACATAAGTATGCATCAACTTAAACT